GGTGAAAAGCAGTTTTGAGATCTAACTTTGTAAAGCTGTTACGGTAACATCTTCTTAGTTCTAAAAGTAATGCAAAGATCACACCAGCAGGTATAATGGCTTCTGGGTTAATCATTAAAGCAAAGAATAATAGCAAAAACATTTTCAGGAACACAACATAGATGCCCTCACATTTACCACATAAACTCAATTTTCAGGATGGGTCATATATTACCTACTATTTTCTCCTGGAATACCCACAAAACTACAATTATAGCATTACTAATCTAAGTAGCATTTTAGAAGAGAAGTGGTTGATATCAAGAAGAAAAGAAGTAGTACTGAGCAAGCAATTGCCACAGGAAGACTGCAGTCAGAAGGAACTGAATCAACTCACACTCCTGGCAAATTGTCTGCCTGAACAGAACTCCAAGCTTCAGCACATCAGGTGGTGAGGTGCTGTTGGGGCATCAGCAGGTGATATCCAGATGAGAACTCTGTTAGACCATGCACATTGGCAGGACAGAAGTGTGCAAATTTGAGGACAAGAGGTTTCAAGAGAAAAAAAATCTCCATCTGTGTAACACGATGCTTTTGCCAAAATTTGAAAAGACAGTGATCTGAGGAAGAGGTTGAAGAATGCAAACCCTAGCCCAGAATGGATCCCATGCAAAGAGACAGACCTGTGTCAAATCAGAAGAAACATGTTTCTAAACTGTGATGTTGCTGACCCCACTCAGGATGCATCACCTTCCTCTGGAACACTAACCCTTCAAGCTAGAGGGCAGGATCTTCCTTCATTTTTCACCTTTAGTTTCTTTCTTTGGTTGGGTTTTTTTGAGCAGGTGTTTTTTTTCGTATAGAATCATAGAATTTTTAGGGGTTGGAAAGGACCTTACACAGATCATCTAGTCCCAACCCCTGCCCTGGGCAGGGACACCTCCCACCAGAGCAGGTTGCTCAAGGCTCATCCAACCTGGCTGTGAGCACTGCCAGGGCTGGGGCAGCCACAGCCTCCCTGGGCAACCTGTGCCAGTGCCTCAGCATCCACACAGGAAAAAACTTTTTCTTAATATCTACCCTAAATTTCCCCTCCTTCAATTTGTACCAAATTTGTTATCTTTTCAAGCCTTCTGTTCACCTTATTATTTGCTACTATTTCCTAATTAGTTCATGTTCATTTTGTACTTGCTATGAGATAAACAACCTAGGATGGATTACAGCCTGTTCCCAAGTCCTTAACTCTAACACCTAGGTCATGTCTGGAGAGGAATCAAAGCCTAGGATTTTGTCCTTACTGGCCAAGAATAACAATTCCTCTCTTTCTTCCTCTCACATTGTCTCTTTTCCATACCACGTCTTAAACTCAACAGGAAAGGAGCAGTTCAGCACCTTCCCAGCCAATTTAGTTTCTACTTCCAGAGTCAGAGCAGTATGGATTTAAACCTCAGGCTAAGTAAGCTGTAGAATAGAGTCTCACCACCTCAGTGAGAAGCTATTACACTGTCTCACAAAACACAATTCCCACCAAATTCCTGCCTCTTTCTGGCCGTGTTTTCAGAGAAGAGTAAACCCAATCAGACTACATGGACAGTGTGACCTCAGGCAGCAGGACGAAGGGTTTAAGCTACAACTGTTTAAGCTGAGAGTCTTGCAGACATGCTTTTATCAAAGCAGCAATTGGTGTCCAATTACCAGACAAGTGAATTTTGAGAGATGGTTCCCATTTGCATTTTCCCTAGTGTTTGGTATCTCCTCCCCTCCAATAGACACGCTACCACTAACTTCCTCCAGTCACTAAGCATAGGAGGTAAGTTCCCACTCGCTAAACCCTGGTGCACCCAAGTGTATTTGGGAACCTGAATATCCCAGATGTGGCTGATGAAGGCTCAAACTGTCTTGGTAGAGTCCAGAAGGGAATCCTTTAGCATACACAGTCCTGGGCTGTATAGCTGCTTCCCCCTCCACTCAGCTCTCCCAGAGTCGGAGATGGAAAAGCAACAATCTTTTAGGACAGGCTTGCCCTTGCAGGTGATAATAGAAATTTCCTTTGGACCACGACTGTGTTTCAGAGTGGACACAAAACTAGAGGGACTCTCTTGATTTCCTCACGCATACACCTTGCAATGCCTGTCCCTATTTGCCCATAGGCTCAAGAGCAAAACACAAGTATTACATTTTTTCATAGCAAATAAAATACTCCACATTATTCCTGAACTAAGGATCATAGAATTATAGGGCTTGGAATGTACCTTAGAGATCATTTAGTCCCAACCCCCTGCCATGGGCAAGGACACCTCCCCATTAGACCCAGGTTCTCAAGGTCCCAAGTAGCCTGGCTTTGAACACTGCCAGGGCTGGGGCAGCCACGGCTTCCCTGGGCAACCTGTGCCAGTGCCTCACCACCCTCACAGGAAAAAGCTTTTTCTTGATATCTATCCTAAATTTCCCCTCTTTCGATTTGTACCCATTGCCCCTTGTCCTGTCACTGCAGCTCCTAACACAGATCCCTCTGCAGCTTCCCTGGAGCCCCTTCAGCTCCTGGAAGGTGCTCTGAGGTCTCCACACAACCTTCTCTTCTCCAGCCTGAACTGCCCCAACTTCCTCAGCCTGTCCTTATAGGGGAGATGCTTTTTATGCTCTAAATAATGTCCAAGTAATTGGTTGCTTTTGGAGCCTTTTTTCACTCTTTGCAAAAGCAGAAATGTGTATTTTCCATACCTTGTGGGGAAGCATAGGAGAGAGTATTCTGAAAATACTTGCACTGGTTTAACTGATACTAGCTTTCAAAGAAAAACTGAGGGGTGTACCAACTTTTTTTGCATAAACCCCTTTTTCTGCTGAGTCAAGAAAGTAGTGAGGTCATGGTGGGAGCTTGAGAAAACTGACCTGAATATTAACAGACCTAACTGCATGTTTTGGTGTTTCCTTAAATAAAAGCACCTGTAGCTAGGCAGGACGTTTTTCCCTTTTCCTATTATTGCAACAAATGTCTGACAGTGTATCTCCTTTGATAACATAAATTGTGCATAGACTTTTCTGAAACATACCCTTGCATTAGCACTCCCTGTGTTTGCTGCCACAGTAGTCCCTGGCTACGTAGCCTTGTTGAAAAGGCACTGTGCTCTCCTAGCTTGTTGTGAAGGGTGAAAGCTCAGCCTTTCTCTCAGCATTGAAATAACATTTGTTTTTCCAAATGTGGAGTTATTGTACAAGTATTACATGACAGTCTCAGTTCTCAGGTGTTCCTTGAAATGCTGAATTTACTCTTTGAGTCAGAAACCCTCATCTTGTCTGTAAGCAGTGCTTACTCCATCAGCAGCTCCTAGGTGGGTCCCGATGCAACCTGATAAAAGTCATTTTACAGATAAGTTAGAAAAGCAGCTCTCAGTTATGCCATTCCAATCCTCTTGTGGACTCTCTCTGCTGACTATTGCTGTGTACGTTAACTGGGGAACATCTGAAAACAGGTGTAGAACTGAGCTTCAACATTAGGACATGAACTGTTGGAGCAAGTCCAGAGAAGGCCACAAAGTTGATAAAAGGATTGGAGCATCTCCCCTAGGAGGACAGGCTGAGGGAGTTGGGGCTGTTCAGCCTGGAGAAGAGAAGACTGCATGGAAACCTCAGAGCAACTTTTCAATGTCTGAAGGGCCTACAAGGAGTTGGAGAGGGACTCTGTGTTAGGAACTGCAATGACAGGCCAAGGGTCAATGGGTTCCGATTGAAGGAGGGAAAGTCTAGGTTGGATGTGAGAAAAAAATTTTTTACTCTAAGGGTGGTGAGACACTGTCCCAGGTTGCCCAGGGAGGCTGTGGCTGCCCCAACCCTGGCAGTGTTCACAGCCAGGTTGGATGAGCCTTGAGCAACCTGCTCTGGTGGGAGGTGTCCCTGCCCAGGGCAGGGGGTTGGGGCTGGGTGATCTGTAAGGTCCATTCCAACCCCTAAATTCTATGATTCTATGAACTATAATCACCAAAACATGTGTGTACGCAGGTATGAAAATCTGTAACGTTCCCTGAAAGTTCTCCTATGTATAAAAAAAAAACTCCAGTGTCACAGGATCTCTGAAAACATATTCTGTACCACTTCAGCAAGGACGGAGTATTTTCTAAAAACACATGCACTCTTATTTAATATGTTGTTATTATGCTGTACAGTTCTCAATATGCTTGGTTTAAATTCCAAGCAAAACAAGTATTTCCAGCACTCAAAACTATGCCTATGAAAACAACTGTATTTTCATGTGTTAAACATCACCATGTTAGAAGTGCATTTTGTTCCTAGTGTATATACACCTATTAACTGTGATGAGATAGTATATTGGGAGAGATTCACACAAATACACCCAGAAACTCATGAATTTAAACAATCCCTTTAATGTAACAAACATATCCAACTTTCAAATATAAACTGGAACCAACTAACAAAAAAAAAAGAAACTCAAAACAACTTTCTGAATACCAAAAAGGTCTTATGCAAAACAGTGCACATTTATTTGAGGTATCGTATCCATGAAAACAAAACAAAACAAACCCAACTATCTACATTTAAAAAGATTTTTTACTTAGCAAGGCAAAAGAAGTTAGGTGGCACATGTTGAGTTAACAGATGTAAACAGTGTAAAAACACAGAATGCTAATACCAACCAACCCAAAACTAAAATAACCCAAAGGATTAAAGAAAAATAAACCAGAGGCATGCAAAATATTGTTAAAATACACTCAAATCCATGTGGCCAAGTGACAGTCACAAGCTGTGAGATGGACTTAGAAATGCAGTTTTCCTTTCTTTAGTTTCCTTAGATTGATTGTCATTCAATTTTCCACTCAAGTGGAATGGCTGATGAAAAGCTTTCAGCCTTCTTCAACCCACTGGTAACTGAATCTTTAAGACTCCAAATGGGTGTTGCAAAGGAGGTTTAGGTAACTGTGTTTTTATGATATAGTGTGATATACAACCTCACTCAAATGCTACAAGCAAATGGTGCACAACCTGTTACCATTATGAGAAGCAAAACCTTGGAGAACAGTCAAGTTGCTCCAGGTGGAATTGAAAGACTTTCGAGTTTCTCCCCACGAGAGCAGTAACAAACCCCATGGTAAATCCAGTGAGCCACCTAACATTTTATTTGCAACACAGAACATTTTTGGCAGCCAAGATATATGAGAGGAATCTGAGTAGTGACCTGCAATGCATGTGCTTTTCAGAAAAATCAAGTTTTGCATCAGGAACATAAACAGCACAAAGCTTTTCTCATTGAAGCAACTGTACCGATGCCATCGGGTCTCAGATGCACCTACAGGTCTTTCTTATCTTCCATTTTATTTAAACTTTCCTGAAAAGAGACAGATTAAAAAGAATTCATTTTTGGTAAGATCAGAAACCACTGACTGCAGATGTCACATCCTGCCTCCCTGCAGTCACACCTGCTTTGTTCAAAGCTGCAGTCCCATCAGTACTCCCCCACACAACACTTGTGCCTCTGGTCACAGCTCTAGTTCTGCTCCCCGTGCACGTTACAGCTGAGCTGCACAGCAAACTCAGCAGAAACAGGATTTATCCTTCTGAGCTGCATCCTCTGTGTGCTCAGTACCTTCTGTTCTTTCCATTCAGAGGTAAACACAGAAAATGGTGAGATGTGTGTTCTAGACCACAAGCCTGTTAGAAATGCAGCAGGACTACTACGGCTCATTACCCAGCGAAGCACAACAAGGACAGGCCATGCATGGTGGTCTTGATTTGAACACAGATCACTTGAGCAATCTCTGTGAGAGTACAGGGTGAGGCTGGGAATCACTAAGTGGTTTCACAGAGTACAGAAAAAAAATAAATATTACAACCAGCTCAAATTTGCCTTTTCTTATTAATACAGGACCAAACAGGTCTTCTTGTAAAGCCAAGTCACCATAATCTTAACATCATCATTTATTTTCTCTCAAAATGAGCACTTGTGAAAGGGTTAACACATTTTTATTGAATTTTGGTTGAGACAGATGTTAGGCACGCAACATATGAGCACCTGTCAGACAAGTTAAAGAACAGAGAAGGCTCCCAGTTGTACCAGAAATAATTACTGTATATTTTAAAGGCACAAACTCAATTAAACTGCTAATTGAACTTTTGCTTGCTCTGTTTTTTTTTAAATTTGAATTTTATAATAGCCTGGTTTAAGCCTAGATGTTTGTTGGGTTTTTTGTTTTCTCAATCTTGCATATCAACAGTATTGCAACACTGACAACCCAGTGTTGCAAAAGCATGTTTAAAGAGCAAACACAATAAAATTACTTCTATAAATGATGTATATACTCCCCACACACAGGCACACTCTACTCCTATCATTTTCTTACAAGATTTCCATTGATCTTCACATGCAAAACCACCCGAGTCTTATTTCCCAAGTGACAGCAAAACTGAATCTAACAATGACCTGAGCTTTGTCAGCCAAAGTGCAAAAAACAAAGTGCTAATAACTTTGCTGTCCAGTCCCCATAATACTGTTTGATGAGGTCTAAGAGTGCTGCCCATTTTAACTTTCAGCTATACTGAAGATTGTGGTAAATGCTCTTGCACAATGAATACCCAACAAGCAGAATTTTGCCGGTACAATTTCCAAACACAGTGCCTGTACAGTGATCAGAGGCACCTACCTGAAGCTGTTCACATTCTTTCATCAGATTATCATAGTCTCTTCTAAGGCCTTGAGACTGTTTTTTCACTGCAGCCACTTCATCTTTGGCCTTGTTGAAAGCTGCAAAACGTGAGAATTGGGGGTTTAATTATTACTCATATTCCTGCAGTTCCTCAGAGCCCTAGTTGTGTATTAGGGCTCCACGACAGTCCTTCCTCTAGAAAAGCTTAAGTTTAAACACAGCATCACAGATGGACAGAGGAAGAGATGTGCAGGACAGGTAGGGGAAAGAATGACCTGTGTTCAGGAACATCAGCACAAGGCACAGGAAGGGTCTGCAAGAACAATAAGGGTGAGACCAATAAACTGTTGACAGAGGTGACAAGTCAGTGATGTGTTGTGTCACGTTGCAGGAGACAGTTCTAGAAAAACTCTACAACCCCCAAATGGAAACTCTCAGCCCTCTTCAAACAAAGAGGGAACTCAACCACCAGGCAAGATTTTCACAAAGCAGCTGAGACCATTCACAAAACCTGGGGAGCAGGGGGAAGATACTACAGTATTATAGGAGCATAAACCCCTCATTTGCACCCTGTTCTGTACTTAACCATGCATGAGTTAATTGATTAGAAGCATCAGTTCATGGATGAGAAGGCAGAAATGGTGGTGGTGGGATAGACAACTTTTAACAGGTTTTCAACATGAGAAAAATGTTACTACTCAATCTCAACACAATAAACTGAACTATGCTGCAGTGCCAAGCAGCCCAGAACTCCATAGGGACTAAGTTACAGTGCAGGGTAAATGTGACAATTTGATAAAACTTCTGAGTTTCAAAGCTGTAGACAAAACCCATATGCATATGCCATTTCACTGCTTCAAGAATCTGCTAATTAGAAAGATAAATTTTGCCTTTCCACAACATTCCTGTATAAAGTTATAGTAAAAATTAATGATATCTCATTTCTAAGTCCTAACTCAATGTCACTAACACTATTTAGTTGTTTATAAGCAGCAGCACAGTACCTTAGTTGCAACTAAAAACTGCTTTATCTTTAAAATATGAACAAAATACCAAGAAAGCAAACAAGCTACTGCATTGTTTTAGTGTTTTGACCAAAACAGATGTATGACAGGAATACCTCACCTAACCCTAGAAGAAGAAAAAGCAAAGAACGGATTGTTCTTTCCACTTGTGTTGGCTGTGGACAAAAAAACCCACAACCCAACCAAAAAAGCTCATTCCTGTGGGGCCACACAATTACAAGGAGCATCACACCTTTGACAACGTGAATTCCTCAGTGCCCTGATTTCTCTGGATGCCTCTTGCCAAGCAGCAGAGGCTGTCCCTGTCTCACTGCTCTGCTACCAGCTATCAGCTTTGCCATTGCATGGACACTGCAGTGCAGCCAAGCCAATCACACAGGTATGTTGTTTGTCATATGGATCGTATCATCTGAACGCTGATCCAGCAGCAAACAGAAGAACCTTTGTGTGCACAACACAGTCAGTTATTATTTCTGGCCTCCATCTGGTCTGTTCCTTTGCCACACAGGAGGCAGAACAGCTGGACTGGCAGCAAGCAAACCCCAACAGCTGCCTGTCCCTACCAAGTAAATACATGAGCAGGAGGTGAGGATGCTGCTGCTGCTGCATTAATGGGAGGAACATTCACTAAGTCCCAAAACTGGAATCCAGCCTCACAACTGGGAGTGAGGTAGGGTATCCTTTTTCATTCCATCCCCTTCCCTTCAAAGAAAAAAAAAAAAATCAAGAAAATATTCTTAGGGCAGTGTTGCCATGGAAGACATTTGTGGAAAACTTTATCTCTTTACATGTATGTGTGACTGGAGGTTCATAAACTAATGTAACATGTATGGTCTGGGAGAAATAGAGAACTTGTCCTTCTCTCAGCACATTATCTGTATCCTATTCCAGGATACAGAGTTTGCTCAGATAGATTGCTCTAAAGCAGAAGCAGGATGAGGAATAAAACTGCTCAGAGGAGGTTACCACAGCCCAGTAGCTGCAGCATTTCTATGATCTTCTCATTTCAACAAGGATGGAGAACCAAAGACTAGAACAAAACCAAACAGCAACAAAAATAACCAATGATTCTTTGGGCATTTCCTCACACAACTAGTAGTCCTGGTCTGACTAAATCACTTGACTTACAGTGCCTGCTACTAAGGAAACGACCTGGAACTTACATTAGCATTGCTAACAATACAAGCCTACAACCCAAATGATTTGGACTAGTATAAGACTGAGAAAGAGCTCTCTCTTTCAAGAGTTTTCAAGTTGAGAAAGAGCTATTCAAATTTAAGAATTTAGGCGCTGACGGGACAAGAGATTTGCCAACAAATTGGCTGTAAGGCTGGGAACACAACTCCAGTCAAGTCATGCCATACTAATTCAGAACTCTCTTCTTGAGATGTAATGGTTACCCAGAGTTTAAAATGGGAAGGCAAGGCCAAAAAAAAAAAACAACTACACACAATGTGCTTCAAGTAGCTTTTGCAGCCTCCAATGAAATTTTGATACCAAAGGGATGTTACAGCATCTTCAGGTGGCATAAACAGCCTTGAGTAACAAACCCATGTCTGCTGTGTGCACTGCCAGCCCTGCCAGTCAGAGGTATCAGCATCAACTCTGGCTGCATGTGACGCTGTGCAATGGCTCACACCAAGGTTATGATCTCACAGGTAAAAAGGTAAGCAGGACTTTGTTTCTAAATATCTCTCTGCCACTGGCTAAATAACATGAGACTGTGGCCAATTCTTTAGTTTGTTTTTAAAAACTGGAGTGCATCAGTGGTGCTCAACATGAATGTAGTTTTCATGCAGTTTTTTTCCTGTGAGTGTGGTGAGACACTGTCCCAGGTTGCCCAGGGAGGCTGTGGCAGCCCTAACCCTGGCAGTGTTCACAGCCAGGTTGGATGAGCCTTGAGCAACCTGCTCTGGTGGGAGGTGTCCCTGCCCAGGGCAGGGGGTTGGGGCTGGATCATCTGTAAGGTCCATTCCAACCTCTAAAATTCTATGATTCATACATGGCACTGACCTGTCTGGCAACACAAAGGCCAAGCTGAACTCCCCCTTGCAGCAACAGTTTTATGGAATGTATTCCCAACATTTGGATTGTTTAGTATCTTTCTAACACCCAATGACCTTTGAATTTCAGTGAGAGCTGTACATCTGAACTTGCATACTTTCTAGAATGCTCAACAGCTATTTCAAAAGCAGCTCTTCCCAAGAATCGTTGCTCTCTTCCTGTCTCCTACAACACCATGCAACCATGAAACGAAAAACACTTGTGACACACTCTGTACACAAAACAAACCTCATTAAAGGATGCATGGAAGTTTCATCAGAATTTCCTCCTGCCCCACTGTATGCCTATGACAACGATATATAAATAGAGAGTGTTTTCAGGAGAAGTTGAACTAAAGGTCAAAAGCATCTAAACGAGTTTGCTGAGACAGTACCTATTTCATCAAGTGGAATCCTAATGGAGCAGACAAAAAAAATCTTTGGATTTTGTCTCAATGTGGCACTACAGACATCAAAGATGCAATTAATGCCACAGCTCAGTAACTCTACACACTGATGTCTGAGACTGCAGTGCCTTATGCTACATCAGACTCAGGCAGAAAGTTAAGGTGCATGTCATTTGCCATGAAATATTGTTAGAAGAGCTGGACAGGAGTCTGTCACCAGTCTGTTCTGCTGCAAGATTCGATCCATACTACATGTTCTGTACAAATTTCTGCTGTGTAAATGAAGCTGTAGGCTTTACCATACAGTAGGACAGTGTCACCAAAAGAAATTATCTGAGACAGAAGGTGAAATGGTAGAGCATTGCAGAAGTTTCCCTTCCTGCCCAAAGGGTCCAATAATAACAAACTGACATTTCACACATCAGCATTTCCATGGTGTGGGATCTGTGAGCAAGAAAAGAAAGTCAATGCACCAATAGTCCCATTCCTAAGGACCACGGTAAGGACAGCTGCTTTATGAGACTCATTTCAGCTTTAACCTCATGTCCAACTGCAGATAATTTGTTTAGTTGTGGCTTTTTGGACAGTTTACAAAACTATCAAATGAAACAATATCTTAGCACCTCTTCTTTGCTCAGAAAATTCCTATAGGTCCAAGATCAGTAGCCATACTAAGAGCCTTTAATTATGTGAATCAACGTAAGGACAGCTGCTTTATGAGACTCATTTCAGCTTTAACCTCATGTCCAACTGCAGATAATTTGTTTAGTTGTGGCTTTTTGGACAGTTTACAAAACTATCAAATGAAACAATATCTTAGCACCTCTTCTTTGCTCAGAAAATTCCTATAGGTCCAAGATCAGTAGCCATACTAAGAGCCTTTAATTATGTGAATCAACATTTTGTTAGAAATATGACTAATGTGTACCAGGAGAAACATTCTCACATCTGTACTGTGTGCTCCTACGAGTGTCTATATTCATTTCTAGGTATCAGTGGGACACTTTTCATAATGTGCAAGTGTATTGATAAAATACCATCTCAAAAGGTCTCTAAACAGTCATGTTATTACATGTCTAGGTATGCTAAAAATGGATTTAGGCTCTGAAAGTGCTAGCCCCACTGCTGGGTGCCTATAAAGCCCTGACAACAGTATGTGGGTCTGCAATAAAGCAGTGAGGAACCAGCCCTCTTTCCTTCAATTCCAAAATAGAGCAAAAAAGGCATCAAGGGGAATAGCAAAGTCTGACAAGAAAACATATTTGGCCAAAATCTTTGTCTTAGTTTCTGACCTCTCCTCAGATTTTAGTAATTTCACAACTGAGTCTTTGTCTTTTCACTCTTCCCACACACACATACACCTGTCCAAAGCACAGGAGGTGGGAAAATATCTTAACTTAGGATTTTGCTTAGAGTTAAGCGGGGAGAAAAAAGTAGACTGTTTCTTGTAAAAGCTGAAGAACTAGAGATCAGTCTCCTGAAAGTCTGCAAGAATATCTGTCTACACCAACATTTCAGCCAGAATTTCAGAATGAGGAGACCTATAGTATTTTCTCTGTATCAAGAAGAGTGTGGCAGCAGGACTAGGGCAGTGCTCATCCCCCTGGACTCAGCACTGGGGAGGTCACACCTCAGTGCTATGTTCAGTTTTGGGCACTCACTGCAAAAAGGACATTGAGGTGCTGGAGAGAATCCAGCCAAGGGCAACGAGGGCAGAAAAGGTCTAGAACACATGTTGTATGAGGAAGGGCTGAGGGAGTTGGGTTTGTTTAGCCTTGAGAAGAGGCTCAGGGGTGACCTCATGGCTCTCTGCAACTCCCTGACAGGGGCTGGAGAGAGGTGGGGGATGTCTCTCCTGCCAGGGCTGCAGGGAGAGGAGTAGAGGGAATGGCCTTGAGCTGAGCCAGGGGAGAGTCAGATTAGATGTTAGGAGAAATGTTTTCCCTGTTAGGGTGTTCAGGCACTGGAATATTGCTCAGGGAGGTGGTGGAGTCACCATCCCTGGAAGTGTTTAAGAGGCATCTGGATCTGACACTGGAGGATCTGGTTTAGGGTTTAGGGGTTCCAGCAGAGTGGCAGGTTAATGGCTGGACTGGATGACCTCAGAGATCTCCTCCAATCTTGACGATTCTATGATTCTAAGTTACAAATACTGGCACAAAACCTTACAGAAAACTTGGATCTTGCCTGAAGTCACAGCACTAATCTGACACTGAACTGTGTTCTTCAGTGTGAAGCAGACTCACATTCAGGACTCCTCCTGGGTGCCACTCTGAGTTAATCCACCTTGCAGCACGTGCCCCACTATAAAACAACACCGTGCATCAGGAGCTGAACAAATGTCCCAGACTAGGGCAATGGTACTTGATTTCTCTTCCAAGCAGCACAAAAAGCAAACCCAAATCCAAAGCCCCAATCAAACAAGAACAAAATCCAAATTTATGACTCCTACTGATACTGTAGTCGAAACACAAACGAACAAAAGGAAAACCTCCAAAAGCAGTAAATTTTTCATTTTTATACTAGTTCTGCTTTGTTTCATTACTAGGTGACACCCTTTACACTGTTCACTCTCCCCTATGATTTCATGGATTGGACTTAGTGGGCAAAAAGGAAAGGTTACTTTAGTCACGTGAGCTCAGTTGCATGAAACAAATTGTACAAAAGAGGTAAAACAAGCCTTTCCATCTCAACTTTCATTTTGTGCAACGCATTGCTCACACTTTAGTGAGCATGAAACTCAACATTCACCTGCTCAGCTGCAGGAGTTTCAAAAGAAAACAGTGAATACAATTCACGTTAGATCTCTAGCACTGCACAGAAAGCTGTGTCTGTGGTTATTATCAAGTACTTTAAGCTTTATGGTTATCAGTTTGCTCAAAATAATGTGGAAGAAAACATAAAAAATAAGAGAGACATCCCCTAACCCCTCCCAGCTGCCAGTGGTAATTACTGCACCACCCATGGGGGTATTGGCAATGAGGGGGATGGCACCAGGGGAAGGGCTGTAAATATTTTCCTATGCATTCCTTTCCCCTAACAAAAGACTCAAGCATGCCTTAATTTATACATCTTTTGGATGGACAACAGCCCACAGGGAGAATGGAGCTGAAGCAGCATGAGGTAAATCTATTTATTCCTTAGCTTTCTCTAGCATTCCTGACTGAACAGCTTACATTATATTAGTGTCACATACCACCAGTTAGTTTAAATAAAACATATGCATTTAAATTTTCCATTGAACCTGTCACTTCAAAGGCAGTTTTCCCCTCTTTCTTCAAGAAAACAGCAGGAGAGGGAAAACTCACCACCAAACCTGCCTGAGAATGTGAACTAATGAGACTTTCAAGATTCTTGTTGCTTCGAGCCCAGCTGAAAACAGCTGTTCTACAGCTTTTGTTTGTCTCCCCAGTGGACAATGGAAAAGGATTCATGAAATACTTGCTGCTATTCTTACAGCCTTGTGGCAGTGCCATGCAGTATGAAAGCAGGGCTATGTTTTGATGACAACATTCTATCTGGTACCACGAAGACCTGTATTTTGTTACAGTGTGAACATCTGATTAATGTTTACAAGGTCACAGGCAGTGTTATCTTCAAAACAGAGTTCAGATGAGCAGGTGTTCATAAGCATCACACACCTTGACAGATCCCAGTAGGACAGAACCAAACAGGTAAAATCTGCTTCCATCTCAATTTGGGTTGCCTAGAAAGCAGTTTTGACAATCTAAACCTTAAACACGGAAGCTGCTAACGAACAGATTATGTTACAAATTGCAAGGTACGTTTCCTCGTGGACTAAGAAAACCCTAAACTTTGCTGCAGAACATATATACATTTAGAATACTAGTCAAGAACTTTTCTGCTATCTGACAGAAACCCTACATCACAGTAAAAAACCTCAAGCACAGATTGCCCATTTTATACAGAGAGAGTGGCTGCTATGTATGACATGAAAGATCAAACTGATGCCTATAAGCAACCTGCAATTGATTCCATACCTTGGTTATGTCATTGATGAAAACAAGTGAACACCACTTAAATATCAGTTCAACTGGTTAACAATTACAATTAAACTAAGATGTCCCAATTATACATTCTCATAATGAAGACATTTATTAAAATACAGTGATGGCAATGGCATGTTTTGCCAGTTCCCAGTTGAATGGAAAGAACCCCCAAGTGTTCTGCAAACAGATGAAGTTAGTTAATGCTATACCTTGAATACATTTTTGACATCCAGTGTTGAAGTCATCTTTATCTTAATTGCAAAGAAGCCCCAGCCATTACTTACCAGTTGTTGTCTTCTGTAGCTCTGCTTTCAACTGTTGTACTTCCTCCTTCAACTTCTGCTCAACTGCTCCTGCTGACTCTCTCTTTTCACCACTTCCTTTTTTACTCAAGGCCTATTAAAAGCCACAGTAGCTACCATTAATTTTATTTTCATTAGTCTGTCGAACACCCAGAGAATGTCAGCCTTGATCTTGCAAAGCAACAGGTTTTATCAAATGTCAACATGATGCAGGCAGATACTCAGTCATTCTAGGAAAAAAAATCCCCCAAATTGAAAATAAAAGGAAAATAAAAAAGCTCAGTGGTTTAGGCTGATGGTAGTGTCATACTTGTATGGAACAGCACTGTCTCCTGTGTAAGAACACTTTGTATGTCTGCAGAGAGTGTGGAACTTCCCAGGGAGGTGGTGGAGTCACCATCCTTGGAAGTGTTTAAGAGGCATCTGGATCTGGTGCTGGAGGATATGGTTTAAGGTTTAGTGGTTCCAGCAGTGACAGGTTAATGGTTGGACTTGATGATCTTAGAAGTCTCCTCCAACCTTGATGGTTCTATGAACTTTTGTTCTGCTTATAAATGGATTCTCCAGAAGATACACACTGGGACTGCCAGTGACAGAACACTGCCATGTTTATGTGCAAATTGCTCTAATAATTTATTCTGCTTTAAATCATGTAATAAATCACAAATCTCTCCTTGTAGGTTTGTAGCTACTTCTTCAATCTTCAGAATGCTTCAATATCCAGATTTAATTTCCACCAAAATTCAAGAAAAAAACCCTAGGAAATTATTAAGGAAGAACCCTAAGAACTAGACACAAGAGCAATATACTCCCTGTGCTCTAAAAATGTTGGTACTGCAATACTTAGGCATGCTCTTAAGATGTAAGATTAGACCCTTTTGCTCATAAAGCCTCTACTATCCAACCACACATCATCTCAGTTATGAAAACAGCAAAAAAAAAGTGGTAAATACTTAACAGGAAAAAGAAAAAAGTAAAACAAATGAGATGAACAGCTGTTAGGTGAACTGGTGATATCAGAGCTTACCAGGCACAGGCAGGAGCAAAGGGGAAAGATTACTTCAGGAAGAAGAAAAAAGAACTGTTTTATAAAGACTGGCAAACAGTCCAAGAAAAAGAGCTGAAGAAAGCTTTCCAGCAGCTATTTAATCAAAGGGCAGAGATTACATTTAACTGCTCTAAGAAAACCACAGCCAATTGTCTCCTTTGCTTTGTGCTCACCTCTTTCTATTAATACACAAATAGCTATTTCTGTACACTGTCATCATAAGTCCTGTGCTCCATGGGAAGCTCTGAACAGGGCACAGTGCAGACCCAGCACATTAAACTCAGAGTATTTACAGTTACAGCCTGTGCCCTACATGCAGTTGCTCTCACCTCTCTCTGATGGTGGAATGAAGCACACTTGTAAATGAATACAAATGCAGGTGCCAAGACACAGAGAAACTTAAGTCACAGGGAAGCCTAAGTCATAGTATGGCTATAAAGTTAAAATGTTCCAATTCTGAACGCTCTGCATGTCCCTCAGGACAGAGATCCAGCCACAGCACGTTGCCTGTACCTGTGGCTACCAGTGTTTTTGCAAGCCATGCAATCAAACCCACAAATAGAAACTGACAGGAATACAGTTTCCAGTTTCTGGCTATCGCTTACAAGCAGCTAAGAGAATGTGTTGCTAAGAGAATGTGAAAGCAGAACAAAAAAAGAGGACTTTTGGCCAAATCCCCGGAGGACAGAGTAGAAAAAAACAAAAGCACCAGTAGGCAGTAAAGAGACAAATTCCAGGGCTGAGGGAGGGAGTCTGGATCATTTTGAGAAAATACCAAATCCCAAAATTTTGGAATCATTTCATACTTGGGAAACACCTAACACACACACTAGTGATCTTTGTTTTATACCACCACTCAACTGGATTTTTTTTGCATCCCTTCTAGTACTTTTTGTCCAGAATCTGTTCTCTTTGTCTGAAGGTTTATTACAACAAATTTACAGTGCTGGCAACCAAAGACACTGCTTTAGACAAACCCAAAGGAAACCTGTACACACCTGCAGTAAATTTTGCATTGACAATGTGCCAGTCTGAAGAATGCTCTAAAAGTCTCCATACCTCAGATATCTGCACTCTAGCTTATGGCTCAGTCTCTCCAAACAGAAGTCAAACTAATCAGTTACATGAAAATATTTCAGATGTTTATCTTGATTATCCTTGGTCACTTCGCTTCCTGCATACAATTGTATATTGAACCACAACAGACAAATGATAGCTTAATTTGCTCAATTCTTCTCATACAAATAACATGGGTTTGGTGAATCTGTGGGTCTTTAAGTAAGAAAGTTTTTGTAGCATCCTCATTAATACTATGGCAGTATTTCCTACTAAGAAAGGAAATACTCAGTTCAGGAGGGACATTGAGGGGCTGGAGCAGGTCCAGAGAAGAGCAACGAGGCTGGTGAAGGGACTGAGCACAAGTGCCATGAGGAGAGGCTGAGGGAGCTGGGGGTGTTCAGCCTGGAGAAGAGGAGGCTCAGGGGAGACCTTCTCACCCTCTGCAACTCCCTGACAGGAGGTTGGAGTCAGGTGGGGGTTGGTCTCTTCTCCCAGGCAACCAGCAGCAGGACAAGAGGGCACAGACTCAAGCTCTGCCAGGGCAGGGTTAGGTTGGATATTAGGAACAGATTTTTTACGGAGAGAGTGATCAGACATTGGAATGTGCTGCCCAGGGAGGTGGTGGATTCACCATCCCTGGAGGTTTTCAAGCTGAGACTGGATGTGGCACTTAGTGCCATGGTGAAGAAATCACAGTAGGGTTGGACTATATGATCTTGGAGGTCTTTTCCAACCCGGTTGATTCTATGATTCTATTCTACAAATATATTAGGAAATTAGCTAGCCCACCATAAAAAGATAAAAGGATACAAAAAAATAAACACAGTTTTACAGGTCAGAAAATACTAACTTGGGACTGGAGAAAATCCTATTAAGAAGAGAGAGCCAGCATGAGAACAGCTATATCATAAGGTTTTTCAGCCTGGACTGCTATAAGCCCTGATCTAAACAGCCAATTGTTCAGGACAAAAAGAATATATTCAGAGAGATACTTTAAGAATATATTACTACTTTGATGAAATTTGTACTATGAAAGACAGAACTTCATTTATTTGGATTGCTTCAGTTTCCTTTGTTAGTAAAATGCTCCTGAGATTTGTTTTCAGTATTCTGAATTACATATTGTAATAACATTGCTTGTCCCTTTTCCACCAGAAGAAAAAAAACAATGAACAAACATTATTCAGTAGCAAACCATCCCCAGAGTATTTTGTACTAACTTCTTGCTGTATAAGAAAATAACTAGAGAAGCTCAGAGATACCTCCTGCAGCCTTTCGTTCTCGGCCATGTATTTCTTGGCTGCTTCAGTAGCATCGTTTACTTGTGTTTCCAGAGCTGCATTAGATGCCATTTCTTTTGCCAACTGAGTAAGAAGGGTAACAGTACGTCTCAATACACTGGTGGAGAAACACAGTGAACAGCACTGTAATTCACAGCACAAATTAAAAAAAAAAACCCCAAAACAACAAAACCCAAAAAAACCCAAACAAAAAAAAAAAAAAAAAAAAAAAAAAGGCAATGAACCAAAACAATCCCTTTCCTCTCTCTGCATTAGATCCAAAAACAAAACCAGAAGAGAGCTGTGTAAGCACCTGAAGGGAAACATCCAAAGTCATGGATGACAAGCAATAGTGAAAGAAGAGACTAAAAGCATTTTCATCCACCAAAATTCTGGTTTTTCCCTGATGCAGAACCTCCCTCCTCCTGAATACCACAGCCAATACCAAAACAATCCCTTTCCTCTCTCTGCATTAGATCCAAAAACAAAACCAGAAGAGAGCTGTGTAAGCACCTGAAGGGAAACATCCAAAGTCATGGATGACAAGCAATAGTGAAAGAAGAGACTAAAAGCATTTTCATCCACCAAAATTCTGGTTTTTCCCTGATGCAGAACCTCCCTCCTCCTGAATACCACAGCCAATAAGGGGTCAGACACCTGCTTGCTTAAAGCCTGAAACACTCTTACATTACCAAGGGCTTTAAACAGGATGGATCTCCAAATGCAAAACCCCAAAAACAGGCTATGGTAATGAGGACAGTGGAAAAAAAACCTCACAACTTTATAAAAGGTCTTACAAGAACAAAATTAGCAATGTGAGCATATTACTCTTGAAAGTGCCCTGCTAATAGTGTTAAATCAGAACACCTGTGGATGTCAGCACTCATCTGACACCTCAAATCTGAGCTTTGCAAATACCTCTCTTGATCTAATAGAGTGATTGCCTCTTTGCATCACTGTCATTATTCATCCTGGAGTCTTTCAAAGCAGTATCAAGCCAAAGGAACACTGAGTTAAATTAATGCCTGTAATATAACTATGCAGCTGCTCTTCAAAGAAATCTGAAAATCCCAGTAATTGGCTTTTTCATAACTGAAAGAATATTAATAGACCTTTTCAAGGTAAGCCTCCCCACACCCCATTTCCCTGCCTTTTCATTGAAAGCTCATTTTCTTATATTTTAGGGGTTTAGTAAAAGAAGTTAAGGTCACCATATCACTGCTTTTCCAAGGGTTAGCATGTTTTACTACTGCAGGAGTCATTAAAACATGATAACTAAAACAGAACCACAGAATCATGTAGGTTGAAAGGGACCTCCAGAGATCCTCCTGCCCAAAGCAGGGATGGGTTGAACAGATTGCTCAGAGGCTTGCCCAGTTCTCACAATCTCCAGTGATGGGAGATTCCACCATCTTTCAGGGCCCTTATTACAGAGTTTAACTGCACTTGACAGAAAGCATTTTTTTATCCCAACTCAGAAGATCCCAGGTTACTGGTCTGTTACCTCTTGTCATTCTTGTGTGGATCCACTGGGATAAGCTAGTATTAGCTACATGCTACTACTAGACAGAGGCAGAAACCAATAGCATCTGCCCTTCAAAGTCTTCTCTGGCTGAAAGCCAAGCTCCCTCATCCTCTCCTCAGTGGTCAGGTATTTCAGCCTCCAACCTTCTCTGTACCCCACTGCACTACTCCAGTATTTTGGGGGAATCAAAACTGGAACACAGTTCTGCAGCTGCAGCACCACATGTGCCACACAGGGGAATAACCACTTTTCTTGACCTGCTGATTACCTCCTTGCTATTACAGCTCAGCATATGATTGGGTGTCTACCAGGATCTCCAGGTCCTTTCCTGCAAAACTGCTTCCTACCCACCCAGCCAGCCTATGCCCAGCCTGGATGCTGTATGTGGTTATCCTGTAAGATGTTGAACTTTGCATTTGTCTTTGTTGAATTAATGAGATTTCTGTCAGCACATTTCTCCAGCTTCTCTGGCTCCCTCTGAGCAGCAGCCCTGTCCTCCAAGATATCAACCACTCTGCTTTGGAACTGTCTGCAACTTGCTGAGAACACATTCCATCCTGTCATCAATGCTGTTAATAAGGGCATTAAACAATACTGAGCCCAGCACCAAACCCTGAGGGACACCAGCTGGAATATGCATAACTATCATCCTCTAAGCCCAAAGGTCCAGGGAATTGTCCACCTGCTTTTTTTTCCACTTCTCTAGGCCATATCTCTCCACAGTCAAGCTATCAGGATACTAGAAAACACTGCATCAACAGCCTTCCATAAGGCACACAACATCCACTGCTCTGCCCTTGATCCACACATCCAGTCATCTAGCTGTAGAATGCCACAGGGATGGTCAGGTATGATCTCCCCTCAGTAAATCTGTGTCAGATGGGTGGGTGCCTCTGTTCTACCCCAGGGGACAGTCTCTGGTGACTATGACCCCTCTCTTTTCTGTGAAGTTTGCAGATGAGGGCTCAGCTGTCCCCATACCTCCACTGATAGGAGGTCATCTTCCTCACCTGCACCCAATGTTCTGCATCACTGAATCACAGATGGAGAACAGCTTTTGTCTTCTCTCCAGAAGCGACAAGCTCCCAACCTCCTTTATTTTGTGAACCTCCACCTACCACTCTTCTGCAATTATCCTATTGGCTCATGTGCTAAAATCAATCAAAACTGACCCAAAGAATGAACCAGGGGCATCACTGTACCCATTCACACCTAGATGTGGTCTGAACTGGGTTGGGTGATGGCAGTAGCAGGGCAGGATAAGACAGCAACTCAAGGGGCACTTTTCCTCCGTTCTCTGAGACATTATGCCTGTCTAATGGATAAGCAAGAGCTCTACTAAGAAAAGTCCTTTGATCTAGCCACTACTGTAGGAGTATTTATTTCTTCTAAATCTTGGTGGAAGGCCAGTAGCCCAAAAAATGCCTCAAGCAAACCTCTTCAAGAGCAGAACTTGTATTTATATGCAATTAAATCTACTGGGGCCACTCGACAAGTTTTCTTCTTGAAAGTTGAGTGGGAGTAGGATCCTGGGGGATCAGCTTCCAACTCTTGTGTAGGACACAATCCAACTATTCCTCTTGGAGGAGAGATCACAAACATATTTGTGCATATTTATTTAACCTTTCTGAAGGAAGACAAAGAACATGATGCATTCCTATCACTATTGTGTAAGGCTACAGCCACCTTTATTTTTTCCAAAGTCTTCCTGCTCAAGTTTTGTATTAATTTTTCCTTAACACTTCCTTTCTGTTCAATTGTCCTCAAGGATCAGCTAAAATGGCCATACATCACTCTGAGGGGAAGAAGTTTGTCAGAAGTCACTGTGATTTTCTTGTTCTGTGTTCCTCTTGCGTGTCCAGGCAATGTCAAGCAGCTCACTGAAGGAACTCCTAAGTGCAGCAGCATTCTTTGCCCAGTCACCACAAAAATGTACAAATAGGAAATCATCTGACATGTCCATTCCCATTCATTCCCATTATCTGTGACCGATGAGTTCATGTGCTCCCTGCCCAGCTGATAAGATCTGCAGGTTGTTGTGGCTACTAATTCGCAGGTAGTCTTGGCTGCTGCTGCCTGGCAGTACAGAACTGTCCTTTCCTTTGCCCTGTTTTATTAGCTGTATTTAAACACCCTGAAAGGGATACCAGACTTGAGATCATAACACCACAGTAGGTGAGTTGCCACAAAGTGCTTGATCCAAAATATATGTGAAGCTTTCCTACAGTTTTTAACTTTGAGCTTGAGATGAAGTGGTTCAAGTCAGGCTCAAGCTTTGCTTAACACAGCAGGATGCAGTAATATCAACTGGCAAGATATTAACATCATTTTAACACAACTTTAGTTTTAAGGGTTGCTTTATTCCAGTTTTCCATGTTCAAAACAAAGGGAAGTTTAAGGAAGGAAATGAGTATTCCCTGGAGAAACTTCTGCAAAATACATGTTTTCTCCAGCATTCAAAATGTTTCTTTCCATGTGTTGTTCGTGTATCCTTCCAATCTTCAAACATTTGTAAGGTATTACTTCCCCGATCTTACTTAACTCATAGCCAATCTGCTCACACCCAATTCTTTAATCTCCTGAAATCTGCCTTCTGATTTTACAATTACTTTGTGTTCCTGTAAGAACCAGAGTTAAGACAGTAGAAAAATGTTGTACTTACAGCCAAAGAAACAAAGAAAAACCTGAGAGATAGAGGTTCCTTTGCGACCGGAACAGTTTCATCTGAATGTGATCAAAGGCGCTGGTGTTGACATTTGCAGCCTTTTCATTCACATGAACAGATGAGTATTTCCTGACTTCTCTAACAGCATCTGCAAACAAAAACATCTGTTCTTATTAAATCTGCTAAACCAGATTTCATACCAGAAATATGAATTTGGACTTTCTGCTCAGCAAACAGGAATAGGACAGAGAGTGACATCACTTAGGCTATCCATACATTTTAAAGATGTTCAAAATATGCCAAACCATTGCCCAAGACATGCTTGAAGAGCCATTTCCAACATTTGCACCAGGGATCAAGCCAAAGCAGCCCACCCAACAAATGTTACCACAGGCCCCAAGGTGTCAACTCAGCTGACAACTGAGTTAAAATCTACCCAGTGGATGGACAGTGAGAAAAGAGAAGGGGAAAAAAAAAGAGGAAGAAATGTTTTCTGAAGTATTTGCTTCATTTGGAATTTGCTAGATAAGCATGTGTTTTACAGAAGTGTCTATGCTTGAATCACAAAGGGAGAATATTACTTCAGTAACATCCAGCACAACAGGGAGATTGCAGTAACAGAGCATTGATCATAAAAAGAACAGAGGTGAGCTACACCTCAGCTTTCTTTCATCTGCCTTTCATACATCTTTCAGCTTCCTTTCACCCATCATATGCTCCTGAGAGTTCTGCAGAAGGGCCCATACACTGCCAACACTTTTCAAAGGACAAAATAATTAATTAGAACTCACATCCACATAAAACCAAAACCTAACGCAGTTAAGAGTTCATATTACAATCTTTAAATTTAAGGTCATCATACAAACTTATGCCCTATACAGCACCTAAACCCTCCTCCTGCATATCAACAGAAATACACGTTTCATGACGTATCAGTTCTGGCAGAGTATTTAGGCCACGTGTTATTAAACTGCTCCTGCATTTACCTAAGCAGACAAGATCAATCCCAAAGAAAAGCACGTGAATATTATCACTTAGGATTGTCTCTTTCATAGGCCCAAGTTATTTAGAAGGGAAAAAGAGTTGAAGTGAAACATTGCAATGAAGACTAAGAGCAAACACATGCATGTCCCTGTGGTATAGGAAGATTCTGGTCCTTCAGTCCCCTATCAACTTATGCTATGGGACAAGCAACTCATCACTGTCTTACTTTAGCCCAGTTCTATCTTTCTGCAAGATCAATGACCATCACCAACTCAAAACCAAAATTTTGTCAGTGTTTTCTCTATGACTTCAAGAGGGTAAAGGAAAGCCATTAGCTCTGAACCTTAAGCCATTTACTGAAGATTTGCTTCTAAGGCTATTACTATACATAATCTTACATAATAATTAAAAAAAAGGTTATTTTTATTTCTGGTACTTTTTCAACACTATGAATGCAGTATTGCAGTCTGGTCTGACATTGTTACATGTGTGATCTCTATGTTTCTCTCAGCATTTTTTCTTTCTGTTTCAAGTAGCTTGGAATTAAATAGCATGTTCATTGTTAGGTGCTGGAAACACTTCTATCCATAGAATTACAGTGATAGAATTACTTCTATCACTGAAACACAGGAGAACAATTTTCATCACCGAAATACAGGAAATGCTTACCAAAGCACTCAAGACAGGCATTAAATGAAATCAGTCAGGCATATGGTGACCATTCAAGCTCCAGTTTCACTAAAGCTTTACTCCTCCTTCATAGACCTTAGGATCTACTCCTAACAAATGTAGCCAACACCTGTTTTGCTGTCTGTGCTGAGCAAACTTACTCAAATGGTCCAGTGTTTTGGTATATTCTGCTGGCCTTCTATTTCACCAGCAGCCCAGAGAAAGAGTGCCATCTACTGCATAAAGTGCAGCCCAGCCAAGTTCTGGTGTCAAACTGGTTCGTTTACTCGTGTGAGAAAGTGAAACCAAACCGAAGCCAAGACCAAGCCCCATTTTTCCTCCTCATTCACTACTACACTACCATTGCATTTGGGTTTCCAACCTGGATGCAGTCTGAGCCTTTCCCTCTTTCATTCCATTGTATAACTTTTCAATTAATTAGCTGACCTGAACCCTCATTTGCCTCATTTACTGGTATGAACTCCTGTACCAGGGTTCTTCCCCATTTGTTAAGGAATTATTGAACACTTACCAAGAAACAAGACGATCAATAAAACTATTATTGTGAGGAACATCTTGTTCCAAAACACTGCCATTCTGCTCCATAGAGGAAACATGAAAATCTTCTGCCATCTGTAAAACAGCACTGCATTATTCAAAATATAATTAAGCACTAAAAGAAGAGCAAAACAACTTCACAGAAGAGAGCCTTGTTAAAGAATTAAGCACTAAAAGAAGAGCACAACAACTTCACAGAAGAGAGCCTTGTTATTGAGAGGAGACTTGGGTAAGGTCTCTCAACAGCTGCAATATAATTTAGGTATATGTTAACTTTGCCAGCAATCCAACTTGCTTGTCTCTTTTTTTATTTGTTGTCAATACAGGCAAAGACATTTGGTTCAACTTGCAAACTTCTTGCATGATAGCAGGTACTCCACAGATGTGTTTTGGTTTAGCTTTTATTTTGTTAGCATTACCTTGTGTTCAGTCCTCACTATGATAAACTCAGGGAAGGGGTAAAGACTAAAATCCATTCCATCATTATTATTTCTATCCACTTATACCCCTTGTTGCTAAATAAAACTAAAAGCTTCCACAAATTAATTCTACCATCATTCTTCAGGAGGCTTATCTTTTACACTGATGATTCTGCATTAATTATGAAGTACAAGAGCTGTTATTACATTCTAATTTGTAAATGACAACAAAAAAGACAAGTTTTATGTTTATATTTTGTCAAGGGTTACAACCTCTTTCCTGAGAATAAATGTGCTGGCTGCAGAAGCAACTTCAGAGGCCTAGTGCTGATGAAGACAATTTTCTTTTTTTTTTAAAAACAATGACTTGCCTATTTGCTATTCGCTTATGGAGAGCTCTGTAAGAATTCAGACTTGCAGCACAAATGAAGAACATCCGACATGCCCAAACCAATCGAAACAAGTGACAACAGAGCACTGACCTGTCTTTTGCTGCAGGCTAGAATCAAATGAAGCAATACCTAGTCATGCCATGTAACATAGACATGCTACTCACCACCTGATTAACTTTTGTTTTGACTCCTTACATTTTCTAGAGACTGTTAAAAACTGCCCTGTAACTAAGCTGTTTCCAACCTACTATGAATTTAATTTAATTAATTTAATTTAGACTGTAGCATCATCTCCAATAGTTCCTTCTGCTTCTCCACCAGAAAAAATTAAAATGTTTTAGCACTGTGCATGCAAAAACCTCATCTAAACCTTTCAGTATAATTTGAATTCTTTACAGCAGACAGACACAGTATCAAACAAAAAGCTTACTTCAAGCTATAACTCCAATGAAGCCAAGTTGCTAACTCTTTAAAAATGCAATTCTCTAAGCTCCATACTGACCTCCACTTAAGAAGTGATTTTCTGAGGTATGACCTTAGATCAACTACACTGTCGAGTTATAATCAGGCTAAAAATAAGATCTCTACTGCAAAGTCTTCCTGTGTTATATTCTCATCCTTATTTTTCCTCAACAAGTACTGACATTTATTTACTAACATTTACTCATGCTCCACTTTCTTTTGGAGGGATGACAGAAGTCACAAAAATATAATCTTTCCAAATTATAACACTGGCCACCACTGGAGTTGTTCCACACTTAGTAGTACAGATCTGTCTTTCTGCATAATTGCTTTTTTATCCTGTCAATTTACTTGTTCCCCAGGAACTTGAAAGCTCGTTAGCAGATTTGAAAAAAAAAAAAAAAAAAAGGAGTTCAGTACCCAAAGGCACAAAAGAGACACAGAACCTGTTTGAAGACTGACAAGTGAATAAATCCAAACTGTGAAGAACAGGAGTTTCACATCTGTCAGTGATCATGAATGCTTCACTGCTCTGACAGAATCAGCTCCCAGGCAGAACTGCTGCCCTCTGGTACTGGCACAGCAGCTAAACCTAAGCTTCAACACCACAAGATCCCTGCGAGTTTTATTAAGAAGAAAACTGGCACATGTCACATAAGGGAGAAACCTATTTCTCTCCTTCAGAAACCACTGTTCAGAGCAACAGCTGAATGCTCCAAACGAAGCACAAAAATCTATCCTTTCCACACCATGAAAAGTACTGTGTTTTTAATGTTTGAATAAATCCTGGCAACATTGCACTTTCAGCTACAAGCACTGGATTCAAGCCCTGCTTGCATCACAACTGAATCACAGTTCAGCTCTCCCAATATACTCTGCTTGTGTCATCAGCCTGCAGAAATTCTTGCAGCTAGTTTCCTCACATAAGCCATGGATAATCTGGTGATTACAACTCCCATAATACTTCTCCCCTCTTACACATAGCTGCACTTTTGAACAGAAAGTCTGAGAACGCAATAATCTGAACTCCTGAACTCCCTGCAAGCCAACTCGTGAAAATCACAAGGTAAAGTAGATTTCAGAACAGTTTCAACTCCTGAAGTTGAAGAAATGTGACCAAGCACTGGTACTCGCTGTGGAATTAATTGTCAAGGCTCTACCACAGGTTTAAAGAGTCAAATTCAGTGTCTCCACACAGCAGGATTTGGTTTAGGTTTTGTTCCTTAAGATATCAGAGTAAAAGCTGTATTTCTCAGTCTGAATATATCTAAAGATGCTGAAAGGCAAACAAGCAACAATTCTTACAGTACAGAGACAGGAGCACTTATTTTTTTTTTAAAGCTTTAAGTTTTTTACTTGTTTTTTTCTGGGGGGTTGTGGGCTCTTTTTAGGAATTCCTGATATTCTAAAAAGAAATTGTAAGCCTGCTTCTCTTGCCTCTTGTAGATGAGTTTTCTTGACCTCCTAGAGAACTTTCTTGACTTCCTATGAAGAAATAACTTTACTAAATTTGAAGAGGAAATGAGATAATGCTGCAAGCCAGGCCTTTGACTACAGTAAAAGCAATGAACATGTTCTGTTCCTCTCCCTTACCACGTGAATTCATTTTACAAGAACTTGTTATTTTCTCAATGCTTGTGCTGTGTCCCAGCAGTACCACTTTGCTAACCTGTGCTGTAAGTTCAGAAAGGCCTTTATTTCAGCAGTCCTGAACCTCCTGCATCAAGATGAAGTGCCACAGCTTAAACACTCACAAATTAATTCCTTGCAGCCCTCACACACGCTGTGAGCATCTTGCTGGGAGCCCTGGACATCTCTGACCTGCTCAGCACCCACAAGGCCTCGTGGACACTGAAATATATAAAGCTGCTGCTGGAGATGCTCACGAAATTTGAAAAACAACTGCGAAAAAGCCACTCCCGCCTCTTGTTTACAACTGAAAGAGGGGGAGGCAGATGCTCTGCTGTGTGCTGGATGCTCCAGGGCCCTGCGAGAAGCTCCAGGGCCCCAGGAGAAGATCCAGAGTCCTAGGAGAAGAGGCCTCGTGGACACTGAAATATATAAAGCTGCTGCTGGAGATGCTCACGAAATTTGAAAAACAACTGCGAAAAAGCCACTCCCGCCTCTTGTTTACAACTGAAAGAGGGGGAGGCAGATGCTCTGCTGTGTGCTGGATGCTCCAGGGCCCTGCGAGAAGCTCCAGGGCCCCAGGAGAAGATCCAGAGTCCTAGGAGAAGCTCCAGGGCCCCGCCCCGGGGGACAAGCTCCAGAGCCCCGGGAGAAGATCCAGAGTCCTAGGAGAAGCTCCAGGGCCCCGGGAGAAGATCCAGAGCCCCGGGAGAAGATCCAGGGCCCCGGGAGAAGCTCAGCAGTGGGGCTGATGGATCTGCCCCGACTGCTGCTAGGATGAATCAGCACAGCCTGAAAAACATTCCTCCTTACAAGCAGCTCTGGATTCTTACAACTCCTGATGCTCAGGTCCCAACCCGCATTCCTTTAGCTTGGTTCACGGCTAGTTTACGACGCGGCAAAGCTCCGCGTTTCCAAAATTAAAAAAAAAAAAACAAAACAAACCAAGAGACACAGAACTCCCGTAACGCGTCCAGAGGAGCAGCACAAGTCGTACCTGGGCGGGGAGATGAAGGGCAGGCAGAGCAGCAGGATCGCGCCGATCTCGCCGTACAGGAAAGCAGCGACCGCGCTCCATTGGAAAGTCATGGTCGGGAGGCACGAGGGGCGGGGAGAGGAGCTCGGCCTGAGGGAGAGGAGAGACTGCGCCGGCACAGCCCGAGCGGGAAAACCTCCTCCTCCTCCTCCT